ACATTCGGCACCGTGCCGGTTTTGTCGCGAAACTTCGACAAGTCATAACTTCTTCGTTATAACTCGGATTTTGACGTTCTTTATATGTACAGAATCCTTGTAACATATACTACAACTTAGTGAAGATTAATCCTTCTAAATAATCTTCCATCAAAAAGTCATTTTTGATGTTTATCGTCTCTTAATTGACTAGCCATGATCTACGGGCGTTACATAGTAGTATTTTTGTATGGCATTCAAAGATATATAATTTATTATTTCTTATTGTCTTTTGACATAAATTAGTATGATGTGCATATGTTAAATATCATGGAAGATTTTGCAAAAGTATATTAAAAGTTTTTCTTTAATATTCTTGCAGATTCTTTCAAGAACGAGTGTATTCTGATAGAATATTTTAGCTATTCAGTATTTCATGAACAAACAGACCGACAAAAGAAAGGGGAGGGGTTGACAAGCATATTCTAAAATAATGTAGTATATATTATAAATATTTTCTATATTATTTAGAATTGGTTATAATTTTTTGTATACAATCACGCACTAACTAAGGGTTATACATCAACAACATATTTTTGAAGAATGGACTAATGACAAATTCTTGAAGAATAGATCAAGGCATGTTTTTCATAATGTTATATTAACTATGTAATTTATATTCATTCTCATTGAATTTTCATAATTGCACTTGTAATTTACATTTTGTTTTCATTTAGTTTTTTCACTCTCAAGAGAATTTCATATTTGAACTTGTATTTTATGGTCATTCTCTTGAGAATGATGTATTAGCAATTTTAATTTATTTTCATTTTGATGAGAATGTTTTGTCTTCCATCTGTAATTTATTTATTCTTTCTCTTTCATTATATCATTCTCATAATAATAGTGGTATAGTGGTTCCAAAACATTTATTAATAGAATGATAAAGAGAATAAGAATTATAAGAATGGACACTACAAAATTATAAGAATAATAACAATGGGTATTAAAATCTCTGAAAAAACATATTTGAAAGTATTGAATAAATTCATATTCTTAAAAAATGAAAGCAAAAATATGAGAATAAATTAGAAATCAGATTTGAATATGTTGAAACGTATTCTAAAAAAATATGATTTAAGTGTTGAAAAAAGTCAAAGATTTGATTTAAATTTTGTTAATTAATTTGTATTCCCTAAAATATAGGTCTTTATTATTTCTCTTTCTTAATCAAATGTCATATTGTCGTTATACTTAATGAAATAGAATTATATAGCACATGCTATTCTATATTAACATCATGTACCCTAGGATCACAATCATTCATTTTCATTAATCTAATAGTTAATAATTGGTCATACATTCATACAATACTTGTAATTCACATTTGATCCTAACCCTATA